GAATTCTGGGAGTTGAAGTCCACACATCTTCAAGTGGCCAAGGTTGAGAAACACTGGTATAAGGTTTTCATAAGGGAAATGAAGTCTGGATATTACTGGAAACTCCAAACCTTAAACATATCAAGATTGCTCCTAAAATACAGAGACTGATCTATCCACTTTGTAGTATCATCAGGCAAAATACTCTTCTGCACTGAAGTGGTAGGCTTAGTAATTAAAACTTCTGCTCTATTCTGCTGTATCCAGATTTCTGAAACGTTGAATCAAGAGGTTGTAAAATCATTTTGTTTTTTTTTAAACAAGGATAAGTGACATCCCCTTATCATGTAACACACACAAAATAAAAAAGGGAGATGAAGAAGGGAGACAACAGTTCAGGATTGAGTAACATACTTATCTACAGTATAACACCAATATGACTTTTGCATATTAATTTTATTTTTTGGCCTTTGCATAGACCTGAAAAACTATATAAACTCTGGCTCCTAATGCTAGATGTCTAGACATCTTTATTTACAAAGGTCTTCAGAGCAGCATTCTGGATATCATTTTCTGAATTCTTTGCTCACCATATACATTCTCAGTTTTTGTACTTGGTCTTCTGGACTGTCAATACGTAACAGCCATTGCCTCCATTTTCATAGGTATGTATAGTTTTCATGATATGCATTATGGTTTATTGTAAAGTGTGAACCTAGCATTGTGAATTCACACATTACATTAAGGCATAATGACAAAATATGGCTTGCTGGTTTTGGTTTAGTGCAAGGTTTCTCAGACTTTCTGGTATAATAACCCCTGAAATAGTAAATATAATTATGAGATCCCCATCATGAATACAGTTTAAGAACATCTGGGTCAGGGTATTGTGTGAATCTAAACAATTGTTTCTTCAATAAATCATAGTTAAATAAACAATGGCTTAGCACAACCATTTTCTTAACTGCCAATTTATCAAATAAATTTGGAAATATTTAGTTTTCTAATTAATCATTCATTGTATCATGAATTTCAAGACATTTTTAATTTCTGTAAAATGAGAAAATTTAAGACACTGCCTAGAGTTCATTAAAACCAACCGGCAAACAGAAGGAGCTAAGCATGTTTGACATAAGATAACATATAACCAACCCAAATTCTCTTTTTAGATACCTAAACCAGAGACAGAGGCACCTCTCAATCTGAGGATGTTCAGTGCAACAAACGGCATAAATGCACTGGGCCCAATTTATTGGGTGTTTCTCCAGAGCAAGATCTACTGGCAGAAAGAGGATGGAATGTCCATGGGGATGTTTTGTATAAACTGTACAAAAATGCTGTTTTGTTTAGTTCCCATTCATTTCAATGAGTCTTCAGTAGTGGAAATTGCCAATGGCAGGTCTTCATTGAATCTTATTTCCAAACACCATAAAATTCTGGGATATGCATCTTTTTATATGCAGGCTGCTATATAATGATCTTGCTGAATTAAGGCTCATATAATTCTGAGGAGCTTCTGCTATCTTTAACATTTTCAAAATGTCAAAAACTACATTACCCTATGCCTAACCCAATTATTGCTTCTATTATTTCATTGTTTCAGCTTGTAGGATTTCCGTCTGGCATTTTAATGAGCACCTACAATTGACTGCAAATATTAAACAGCACAAGATAGAGCCTCACAGATACGCAAACTATGATACTTGCAAAATGGCTCAAGAAAGCAGAAAGGCACCGGAGTGTTTCTAAACTGGCCAATTCCAAGTGAGTTGAAATTCAGTTCCTATAATCTATAGGCTACTGGTTTGCTGGTCATGGTGACTATGGGGATTATGGAAGTTGAAATGACACCTGA